AAGAAGAACATGATCATGACCATGATGATGATGATGATGAAGATGATGAAAATGATGAAGAAGAACATGATCATGATGATGATGATGATGAAGATGATGAAAATGATGAAGAAGAACATGATCATGATCATGATGATGATGATGAAGATGATGAAAATGATGAAGAAGAACATGATCATGATCATGATGATGATGATGATGAAGATGATGAAAATGATGAAGAAGAACATGATCATGATCATGATGATGATGATGAAGATGATGAAAATGATGAAGAAGAACATGATCATGATCATGATAATGATGATGATGATGATGAAGATGATGAAAATGATGAAGAAGAACATGGCCATGATGATGATGATGATGATGATGATGAACATGATGAAGAAGAACATGATCATGATCATGATGATGATGATGAAAATGATGAAGAAGAACATGATCATGATGATGATGATGATGAAGATGATGAAAATGATGAAGAAGAACATGATCATGATGATGATGATGAAGATGATGAAAATGATGAAGAAGAACATGATCATGATCATGATGATGATGATGATGATGATGATGATGAAAATGATGAAGAAGAACATGATCATGATCATGATGATGATGATGAAGATGATGAAAATGATGAAGAAGAACATGATCATGATCATGATGATGGTGATGATGATGAAGATGATGAAAATGATGAAGAAGAACATGATCATGATCATGATGATGATGATGATGAAAATGATGAAGAAGAACATGATCATGATCATGATGATGATGATGATGAAGATGATCAAAATGATGAAGAAGAACATGGCCATGATGATGATGATGATGATGATGATGATGAAAATGATGATGAAAATGATGAAGAAGAACATGATCATGATGATGATGATGATGAAGATGATGAAAATGATGAAGAAGAACATGACCATGATGATGATGATGATGATGATGAAAATGATGATGAAAATGATGAAGAAGAACATGGTCATGATGATGATGATGGTGATGATGATGATGATGATGAACATGATGATGAAAATGACGAGGAAGAACATGATCATGATGATGATGATGATGATGATGATGAAAATGATGAAGAAGAACATGATCATGATGATGATGATGATGAAAATGATGATGAAAGAAAAACATGATCATGATGATGATGATGATGATGAAAATGATGAAGAAGAACATGAACATCATGATGATGATGATGATGATGAACATGATGAAGAAGAACATGACCATCATCATGATGATGATGATGATTTTGAAAATGATGATGAAAGAAAAACATGATCATGATGATGATGATGATGAAGATGATGATGAAAATGATGAATAAGAACATGATCATCATCATGGTGATGATGATGATGATGAACATGATGAAGAAGAACATGATCATCATGATGATGATGATGAAGATGATGATGAAAATGATGAAGAAGAACATGGTGATGATGATGATGATGATGAAGATGATGATGGTGAGAAAGACGACGACAGCCACGATGATTATGGGTGATGATGAAGATGATGATGACAACAATGATGATGATGATGATGATGATGATGAAGATGAAATATGGGATATTTGGGCACCTTTGGCTTTTGAAACCCAAACGACTGGGGTAGGGGGGTAGAGTCCAACAACACGTGCCTGGAATGCGTTCTTGCAAACATAAGGGGACCTCTCCAACAAACATGGGGAGAACGACTGATGTCTCACTAATGGGCCTTTTCACGTCCATTTTCATTGGGACAACCTTGGGGGCGATTCCTTCGTTGATCACATCTTTTTGTGGATGGATGGCAGTTTCCTGCTTGAAAAAACTGAAGGAACTTCACACATCATCATTACACTGTATACTTGTAAAACCAGTTGTAAAACCATTTTCAAAACCAATCTTTTTAGCTTTGCTGTCAGTGATTTCAGATGGTTCGGAAACATGACCAGCCAGGTTTGGTTGCTGGACATCCCACGAATCGTATTTTATAATCTGTATGTAAACCATTTATAGCTGGACATGTCTCGAATGTACCTGGGCTACAATAGGATAATTGCCAACTGGGATACACCCCGAAGCATGGCCTGCACAACTTAATCCTTGGAAGACCTAAGGTCAGCCTGCTATCTGCCGTGGCCTTCAACGTTTTGTCCACGCTCCACCAGATTCCTATCGTCCTAGCAGGCGGGAGGTTATGTGCAGGGTCAAGACCCATGGGACCAGTTGGATGAACAAGGCTACACACCTTTGACCCACACCCATCATACCCTTACAGCGACAAGCCGATATAGTTACGTAGCAAATAGTGAGCCCTAGTTGGATCCCCAGCAACACTCCATTGAAAAATGGTGGACCAATGGATGGACCCAGCGAGTGACCCTTCCGCCATGATGGTGGCAGTAAGATCCCCCCTGGGATGGTTCCGACAACATGGCAACTGAAGATCCACCGCATTCTCTACGTCTAAAAAAACTAAAAACTGGTCAACATGCCATGGATTTTCGTCAAGTTTGCTGAGTGGAGCTCACTTGGTGGTTCATCCCACTTAGTAAATAGATTATAACACCAGTTATAAGTGGGCTAACCCCTACTTTACCCATTTACAACCAGGGTTGCAACATGTTGGGTCTACCGGGGGGGTTTGCCCGGAATTTTAACATGTGGGGTGGGGTGGGGTGGGGTGGGGTGTGTCAACGTTGTGTTCATGTGTACACATGGTACGCTGCTGGTGTGTTCATGTGTACACATGGTACGCTGCTGGTGTGTCATGTGCAAAGGTGTTACGCTTGGGGTGGGGTGGGGTGGGGTGTGTTAACGTTCGTTTTTATATGTAAACATGGTACGCTGCTGGTGTGTCATGTGCAAACGTATCACGCAATCGCAGTGTCATGTTTGATTGTCCATCGTTTCCGCAATCCCATCCGCAAAGATATTCCACCGATCCGCAACACGATGCACAAAGTCAAACTCCACCAAACAGCATTCATGGCAAATCGTGTCAAATGGAAACGCTGTAAATTACAGGTGATTGTTGATTTTTCCGCCAGATTTGGCGAAAAAAACTCAAGTTTGGACATTGTCAAAACATTCAATGATCAATTGCATCTGAAAACATGATATGAAGTCTTCTTGTGAACAACCACATTTTATATGAAAAAACAGTCAAATCAACACCATGACTACAAGAACAACAAACGGCTGCGGACACTCATGACATGTCGTCCCAGTCGACCTTGTTCCAAACTGGGCAAACCCCCCCGGCGGAGCCAACATGTTGCAACCTATTTCTAAGTGGGACGAACCATCTACCATACCCTGTGGCAGGTGTGGTCTTCCAGCACAACACAGTGAGTCAGAGTTCCGTAGCAGGCTTTACCTGTTGCATCTTTGGTGCGCTGGTCTATGCCCTCGCGAGGTACAACGATACCCACTGACGGGCCCAGCCTCCAGTTTAGTTGAAGGATGATGTGACGTCCCCAGAAATTCATTCAAGTTGTTTTTTCCTAAATTTCTATCCTAATGCCCACTCAGCATGATGATCATACTTAGCGAAAGATTCGAGCGGTTGAAACTACACACGAGGTTAGTTTCTCGTATTCTTGTACTGGAAAATAGAAGTTATACTCAATAGAAAGCACTGTGTTTCAAAGAAGGGGATCGGCTCGTGGTGGTTTCCCAGAGATGAATCAGAAAAGACAGGCATGGACTCAACTCTTACCCTCTGGTAAACTAACATAACTATGGAAAATCACCATTTTCAATGGGTAAATCCACTATAAATGGCCATTTTCAATAGCTATGTTAAATTACCAGAGGGTATTTGATTTACCAACCAACATTATGATATCCCTATACCGGCCGTCCCCCTTTGACACCAGGCCGCCTGTTTTTTGCTTGGCAGACCGCTGGCTGGCGGAACGCCAACATCGAAATTCGCCGGTGTATCCAGCGATCACCATAGGTTTCCTGGAAGCCCAACAAAATGGCAGTCCATGATGTTTAGCACAAGAATCCCTGGTTGGTGGTTTGGAACATGGCTTTTATGACTTTCCCTATATTGGGAATGTCATCATCCCAAGTGACTTTCATATTTTTCAGAGGGGTTGAAACCACCAACCAGATCCAGTTTGATGATGATGTCAGTCACTACTTTTCTTTAGTAACGATTAAACAACAGTACACCGACAATCCCAGCATCATCGCCCCAAAATTTGATCGTTTAAAGCCGAATTTTTATCCTATTGCTTTAACATATGGCAATTTTTGGTCATATCCCACTTTCAGATACAAATCATGCAAACAAACATGCTATCCCATTATATCACCATAAAAATGGTTGGTTATACAGGCTTGATATCCGTAAGCCGGCCCAAAGATCATCCATCTTATGGCTATGGGTCAAAACCCTGGCACCCTAGGTACCTCAATAGAGCTGGTTAATAGAGGTTTATTCCCCGATGCTACTAATAGGTTTTGACCCATCCCCACATCTGCGAATTTCTGCCAAAAAAACATGGGCTTTCCGGGCGGCTCGGTGACAACTGTTGGAAGGCGAGCTAAAGGGAGCGACAACCTGAATGGCTTGGAAGGTCTTGGAAGTATAATTTTTTTTAACCTGACCATCTCCAAAGGACGTCACATGACCTCATTTCAGGTTGGTGAGTCATTATAACTTGCCCGGATGTAATGGGACTTTATATACCCATAATTGTGGCCTAAGAGTGACAATGATGATTGAGGGGTAATCTGTTTTTAGACTAAACTAAGCAACAAACACGAGTTGACTTATTTTTTATTTTTGGATACCAACATTTTGGATGGTTCAAGTATAAAACACAACCAGCAAGTTTCTGGCTTCATGTTGACCCCAATTTGTGTTTGCCAGAAGAATAAGTAGACATTATGCAAAAGAACATGTTTGGTCAACGGGGAACATTGACACAGACATTGACATATCTCTTGACCAACGACTATGACACCTCTTCCCCGTACTATCGTTGGTATCCCTCGAGAACCTCTGGTTTAGTATGGGATCCATTCGTTTTCAAGTCCCTTACAGTCCCTTATAGTATATATTTGGGGTATTTGATGTGATCAGCAGATGGTCACCATCATTTTTCACATGAAAAAAAGATGGCAATTCTTATTAACCAACCATCACAAGAATCATTCATATAGTGTTTTCCGGTGAAAACCCAATAATCTCCGCATTTTTTCTCATGGTTGCCCTCCTGTAAACTCAGATGTGGACAACTCACCATTTGTAGATCATGTTCCTAAGGAAACCCATCGGTTTTCCTAGGGTAAAATGCCATGAATCCATGGATTCCACCGTTTTTTCCGGTGATTTTTCCACCGGAAAAACTGCATGGATCGCATGGCCCATCCGGTTGTCCGCCCTGGCCTCTTGGGCCCATCGTCATTTTTTCAACGCCAGACCTTTGAAGGCGTCCGTCGCGGCAAATGCAGGGGGGACGAAGGACACCTGAAAAGAATCCCAAAGATGGGATTGTTTAATGATTTTCTTGGGGGGAATTCGATGTTTTTTTGATTTGTGATGATTTTTATGTTTTTTTGATGTTCAATGTGTTTTTTTTAATGTTCAACTAATTTTACTGTATGTGTTTTGTTTTTAGTTTTATGATTGGGGACCTTAGCAAGAATGGGGCCCCTGTCGCTGCCATTTTTTTTAAATTGACAATTATATATATAGACATGGCAATGGCGTCGAATTTGGTGGTTATAACGGCATTTTCGGATACTTCAGACTTTCAACCCTGGGGATTCAAGTATCTCCAAAATTTGTTGAGGAGGTCTGTTGATTCAATCATTTGTCATTCGTGCCCTTCAAGCCTTCCCCGGTTGGCTTTGCTGCGGCGAATGGGGGGAGCCAGCGGAAGCTGTCTTTCGTGGACTGTCGAAGGTTCGAGACCCGGCATTCTTCGCAGAAAGTGGGGACCAAATCCATGGGATCTGTCAAGATCCATGAAAATCACCAAGGGTGGGAGATTTTATGGTTCGTTGATACCAAAGGCTGTTTTTTGGAAGGCATTCTGATGCCCAACTGTTCCGACTAGTTCCGAGTGTCAAAAAACACACGTTGAGTTGGGCACTCTCAACCTTCCGACATCCCTACATGTGGAACATACGGCTGTTCGTGACCCGGCGCCGATGTTGTGCATCTCCAGAAGTGAAGCAGAAAGGTCTGGGTCAAAACTTCCAAGTGTCCTCATATCTCTGCAGGTGTATTACCCTCCAAACAGATCGACAAATTTAGTACAACTATTTGGGGTAGGATTTCTTTCCTATCTTTTTTAGTTGTCGTACAGTTAATATCATTCAAATATCATTTAACATCCTGATTTCTAAGGACTTACCATGTCAAAGTGTGTGGACAAGCAGTTTCAAAACATTCATTTTTTTTTTTGCGGGGGGTATACTATCCAATCCATTTGGAATTACATCATGATCGACAAAGTGGCCATCCACATCTGCCAAGCATGAACCAACCAATGTAGCAATCATTGACCAACCGACCATTTTCCAGTGTTTTTCACATCATGTTTCACATGAATGTCAACCCCGGATTCATAAACCATGGTTTATGAATTTGGGGGGGTATACGGTACTCCTCCAATAGTCCTGGGGGTTTATTAATCCTGGGTTGATATTAAAGGGCCGCACATTTGCCAACCAAGGGAGTGGATCTCCTGACGAGTCTAGTGGCCACAGCCATGTTGATTGTTTACAGGCCTGCCTTAGTATTCATATGCCAGGAATTTACAATATGATCATTATACATATCATTACTATCATGACATTTTTAAGTCATCAGCACTACTATTTTTGTTGTCATCACAAGTATTGTTATCATCATGTGATTTTGGATCATCCTTAATTCTCCTTCTCATTATGGCTCGTCGACATCCCAAGAACTTGACCCGCTATGGGAAATCGAGCCAGCAACATCTGGTAAACTCCCCAAAAGATGGACTTTGTTTTAAATCTATCACTGTTGTAGTGGGAGTTTACCTCTTTGTTTTTGGTAAAAAAGCAAGCTTTCTTGGGGTTATAATGTAAAATATGTAAAGCTGTTCGGCTTGGTGATGCTGTGATTGGTCTTTATCTATTTTTTAATATTTTTTATCTCAAAAAAACACGCTCAGCAGGTGGGTTGGCTGATAGCAACCCCCTAAAAATAGCAGATAGGTAAAAGTTAAAACGTATAAAATCCAATCCCGAAATCGTGACAAATGCTCAACTTCCCATAACTTTCCCATCATCTGGGTGCCAAAAACAACGAAAATTGCCCACCGTGGCATGGCACAAGTTCTCATCGGCACCGAGCTTCTCTTCCTGGCCCAGTTCCGCAGGCTGGACATGCTGAGAGGTGTTATTTTTGGGTGTAATTTCCATGGTGCAAGCTATCCATGTTAAATCAAGGTATGGAAAATGACCCATTGATAGTTGATTGCTGATTGAGTTGCTAAAAGGATGATTCTCGTACTAGTTATGTGAACGTTTACTGCAGGCTAACTATTTTCTGAAGGTTCGGTGAGGATTTCTAGGTCGGGGAACACTGACGACTCAGCCGACCAACCCGCTCTCTGAAGACACTGACAAAAATGTGGATATATGGATAATATAATTATATATGGATCAGATTAATCCATATAATATGTAATAATATCTAATAATATCTATATCTATATCTGGTTGGTGGTTAAACTAAACATGACTGGATTATTTTCCATTTCATAGGGATGTCATCCTTCCAAAATTGACGAACTCATATCTTAATGATCTCACTGGCGACCGATGGTATGGAGAGACCAGCGGAGTTTCAGGTTTATGAAAGTACCCTCTGGTAATGACTAACATAACTATGGAAAATCACCATTTATAGTGGATTTTCCCATTAATCATGGCCATTTTCAATAGCTATGTTAAATTACCAGAGGGTACAACACAGAACACCCCATTCCATCCAGTGACTTAAAACCTCAATGAGGCTTGGGATATCCATTTTGACCCCCACATGCAACGTGACTCAAGTTGGTAAAAAAACGAGCTGCTTCAGGATTCCTTCTTTAGAGAAGTACAATTTTCCTTGAGAAAGAGGATGTAGTGAACTTTGTCACAGCGTTACATAACTCTCGACCAGCACTTATGTTTCAAACGTTTGAAACCTAAACCTGCTTGTGTCCTCTTGTGGTTTCGTTTTTCCTTGCACATTGGATTTCTTCCACATACTACTGCCAACATCAGCAGGTTCAGTCCTCAATTGTCTTCATGGCTTTTGAAGTCCAAATTCGTAAGGAGCACCCCTCATCCAGCAGTGGGTGGATTCAAGAGTCAGAGACGGATGGGAAAACATGAGCTGCGATGTGGCGGGAGGGTGGTTGGAAGTCGATAAAGGCGCTCCCAGTATCCACTTCAACGGGATACCGGATACCCTTTATGTGGAGAAAGCACAGGATCAAAAAAGATGCCGCGTGCTGCTTTTGGGTTTTCCATTTTTGATGTATATTTTTGTATCTGCTTCTGATTGTCAATATTTCTTTCTGTGGGTCGATCTATTCAACCATTTTCTTACCTTCTTCCGGCTTATTTTGTCTTCGTCCTACCCTATTTGATATGGTAAACCCAAGAATCAACCTACCAATTGGTGATGGTTCCAATCACACCCTTTTTCAGCACTATTTCTGGCAAACTTGGGGATGGTCTATGATTGGATTTACAACATTTGCAGGTTGGCAGTTGGTATTCAAGCAAGCCTCTAGAGCCCTGCATTTTCAACATCCCTAGCGCACCAGTGCAGCCGCAAAGAATCACTGGCTTGTGGGTTTATAGATGTTTATAGTTGGTTTATAGTTGGTTTGCGTGCAACCCCCCATATCCCTATGATAGCCATATATTATATTTCCCATAGTTATACCAACATTTTCCATCACATCCCCATCATATCCCCTTTGTTGATGAGAAAAATGATGTCTCGTCCAGACTTCAGAGGCCAGGCCCCCCATTTCCCCTCCGTCGGTGCAGGACCTTGGCCTTGCCGACGTCGCAACGCGGTCCTTTGCCCTGCCAAGAGGTCTTGGGACCTTCTGAAGGGCGCCGACCTGGTTCCAGGACACCTGGAGATGACGACACCCTCTGCGTTGTGTTGGAGCTGGGCAGATGATTTTCGATCTGGCCAGTGGGCTTGCGCTGAAAAATGAGATGAGGACCTCGGAGGCAAAAAAAAATCGCCATTGAAAAAAAAACCATGGGAGGTCGAGACCTCGGTGTTCGAAAGATGGTGAAATCCAGGTGAAACCCAGCTGGAGATGGTAGGCCCCCTTGGAGCTCTGAGTGCGACTGGGGCAGGAAAATGTGAGCAGCGGCAGAGCTGGGTGAGGGACATTGGACATTAGATTAATCATGATTATATAATCTGATTTCATTTGTAGTTTCAATTTCGCACTGTCATCTATACCCTTTTCCAATTCCTATTCGAAGAGGACTAACCCAGAAGGATCATCATTTGTCAAAATACACAGCTCCTTTCACCCAGTTTTTTTCGCGAATTCAATCTGTCGTCTGTCTACCCAAAAGGAACCTTAAGAAACTCTCAAGCGTCTCAGTATCATACAGCAACGGCTTACATCGACAAGCTGTGGTGCTGCCTGAGGCATGTCGAAACCTTACAAGGTGGAACGGTGACCACCCCGGGGGGTGGGCCACAGCGTCAGCTGGTTATGGCTGGTTATGGTTGGTTGGCATAGGTCATAGTTCATTTTTTGAATCCATATGCGAGATGATGAATCTAGCATTTTTCAAAATCACACCAGGTTTCATGTTTTTGAAACCACCCCAGGGAGGAGTTCCAGCTCATGGGGCTGGTCTTGACTATGCCATTCACAAGCTCATGGTGAGGATATTTTGAGAACATCTCCGATCTTCTAATTGCATCCAATTGCTGGTCTTTGGACATCCCCAGGTCCTAAGTTTTTTGGAATCAAGATCCTATTCGAGGGGATGGGTCCAAATTGGGAACGCACAAAGCATCGATTGTTCTAAAGGCAAGAATCTGGTGCGTGGTTTGAAATATGTTTCGTTTATTTTCGTTTTCTATTCCTATATAGTTGGAATGATGACCTCCACTTTTGGTTTATACTATAATTTTTGGGCTGGTTGACACCGCCTGGTTTCAAGCACAGGTACCACGTACCCGAAGCCTTGCACAATGACACCTATGTGCCTCTGACCTGTTTGGTCACTTGGGGCAGACACATCCTAGAAGATCAGAGATGGTGATTCCATCATGGAAACACAAAAAGATATCATGTGTTGATCATCTCATTGACTGGCTCAGGATGCTTAGGTATGTCCGATATGTCCTCAAAAATTGTATCTCCCAAACCTTTCTTCGGCTGTGAGCTTGGGTTGCGATTCGTGGACACATCTCGCTGCCTTTAGCTGGCTCCTTTCAACTGAGTCTTGCAAGTGGGCCAACCCTGGTGAGTGGTGAAAGGTTTGTTTTGTAGCTACTTCAGGAGCATTTAATCTCCCTATACAGAAACCTTTTCGCGGCGTATCTGAGGTCCACAATGAGGGTATCTCCAAAATCAACCGCCCTTGTTTTGGGGGGAAACTGGCCCCCAATGGGAAGGATCTAAAAATCGGGGCTTTATTGGGGCAGTGCTTCACGATGCCTCGCCGTGCGCCGGGCAGTGAACTGGAACGATGGCAGCAACAGCTGCTTTGCAGGGCTCTCCCTGGGGCTCGGAGACCGATTGTTGTCAGCCCCAGTGGCTTGACATCATGGGGATGGAACATGGCAAGATGACTTCAGAACTCTTAAGGAAACATACCCTCTGGTAATTTAACATAGCTATTGAAAATGGCCATTTATAGTGCGTTTTCCCATTAAAAATGGTGATTTTCCATAGTGTATTTGAGATTGGGGGGCCGGGCTGCTGAATGCCCCTGAAAAAATGCATGTTTTGATATGTTTTGATTGCCATTCCATGGCCATAAGCTAGATGGCTGGACACGATCTGATTCAACAAGACATGTCGTCACCCGGGTTTCGTGGGTCTGAGGGATCAGAAGTACATTAGCCAAGATTCTTGATATGCACATTGTGACATATACTGGTTGGTGGTTTGGAACATTTTTTTTTTCCATAGTTTTTATTTTTCCATATATTGGGAATGTCATCATCCCAACTGACTTTCATATTCTTCAGAGGGGTTCAAACCACCAACCAGTATATATATATATATATGCACATATATGCACTATCTCAGGTTCTGCAACACATTTGTTTTTTCCCAGCATGGCAGGTACTTGGAATCTGAAAAAATGGGGTCCGCTTCGACGTCGCCCTAGCTGATCTGTTGTTTGAAAGATCAACCCAAATCAAGGTGTGGCTCCTTACCATTAATCCGAAGAAATGTATATATAGACATCTCCCCCAAAAAAGAAAAGGAACTCTCTACCAAAATAGAACTATAGACTATAAGTTACAAGTCGTTCTAAGTTGTTTTTCTATCTTGGGGATTACCATCTAATTCTCACCCAAGGTTTATTCTTCTCTGGGGGTTGGGGTCTTGATTGCAGGGGTACTGATGGACACTACATGCATGTTTCAGTGTGATTCATATTAATTCATTTTGATTCATTTTAATTCCCTTTAAACAGGTCTCATCTCTGAGGAGTGCAGGAGTCAATGGCTCAAACCTTGTGTGACAGAGTGATGACATGCCATGCAAAACATTAACAAAAGTCGCGACCAATTTGGAAACTGGAGTTCAAGGGCACCCCTGATGGGGTCCCTGGGGATGCAGTTTTGATGGCCAATGATGATGGCTGTAGAAAATCTAGAGCCCAAGGTCAAACAACAAAGAGCTTGAAATGAAGTGAAAAAGAGCTGCTTCCAACTTTGCTTGTTTGTGGTCAGAATGTTTTGGTATGAAACAGAATTTGTTTGAATGAAACAGCATGTTTTTGCATTGGCCAGAATGTTTTTGAATCACCACTTATTGCTCCAAGAGTAGCCCTTTGATCAGTAACCCAGGGGTGCCAAATGATTTATGTCACCAAGGCTCAGCAGAGGTGGTCAGTGAGCTCACTGAGCTGCTGAGCCAGCTGCGGAAGGAACCCGAGGGCCCTGAGCTCTTTCGCATGAACGACCGAGCCAATGAGCTCCTGAAACTGCTGCCTTTGCAGCTGCTCGTTGGGGAACATGGTGGAACATCATGGCACCGAAGCGATTTTTGTGGGTCCGAGTCCCCCCCCCCCAAAAAAAATGGGGATCTTTTAGGGCAACGGGGAATCTTTGGAGATATACCCTCTTGTAAACTAACATAGCTATTGAAAATGGCCATTTATAGTGGATTTATTCATTAAAAATGGTGATTTTCCATAGTTACGTTAGTTTACCAGAGGGTAGTGGACATTTTTTGCTGGTCATGGAGAGTCTGAAAAACCCTAGCAATGGGGTTCATCACGGGGATCTCATGGGACCTAGCAATAATCCATTGGATTTAAGGAGGTTTCTGAAAAAAGGGGGCTAATGACCCGGCCTGGTAAACAGCCACATAACGAACTGGAAAATGACAAAGATTCACCATTTTCTAGCTGGGTAAATCAACTATTTCGACTGGGGCCATTTTCAATAGCTTTTTGTATGTTTACCAGAGGGTAGATACAGTAATCCTAGTTGAAGAGAAAATCTGTAGGAAACGCCTATATTTGATGGGTACATCCATGAAGCTGAAGAATTGATTGACCTCTCGGAGGATGGTTTGGATCCCATCCATGTAATGACCACATTACCCAGTTCCAAGACCTTCCAAGTGGAAAGAACCACAGGAGTGGTAGGACTTGGTGAACAGGGATGTTGAGCATCTGGAATTTACATTTAGACATTTAGACATCATCCAAATAATTAGGTGGTGAAAGGTCGTGGGAATAGTCTTTTTTTTCTTCCCACCAAAAAAGGATGTGTTTCAGGGTTCAACCGCAGGCTTTTCCAGGTTTGAAAGCAGATCCTCTAAGTGGATTGGTACATTTTGCAGAAGTCGTCAAGTCGTCATGTTGAGAAACTTGCCCCAATCAATCCTGTTGGCTTTAAGGGATTATCAACCTCCATAAGACCTTGTTATGGGCTTCTGAGACCCCCTTTTGATGTGCTCCCGGATTTCCATGTCTCCCTCGCATCACCATTGTGGGAATCTCTGAAAAGGGGGTATGCCCCAATGCAGTGCCATCAAACAACTGATGAACTTTTTCAGGGTGTATCCCCATGGGTCCCCATGGGTCCCCATGGGTCCCCTATATCCAGACCCTACTTTCGAGTCGTGGGATGATTCCACCCAGGCATAGCAGCCGCCTCTCTGCAACCAGGGAGGCCCTGGTGCTGCCGGGCCGCCCAGGCTATCTCTACTTCGGCCGCTGCGCCACCCTGCCGTACGTGGCGGAGGCGGCCCGGGCGCTGACGATCGCTAGACCGGTGAGCCCAAAGAAGACGGCCGAAGAAAAGGAGGAGGAGGAGGCGGGGGCAAACTTTGGATGGGTAGATGTGATATGATTTAATGATTCATAGAATAGGATGCAGTATGATTTAATATGAATTCATATGGTTGAACACGGTTTAGTATGATTTAATAGTTTTGCCCAGCCAAAATTGAATCTCTTGATATCTTTTGCAGGGTATCTAAGAGCCATGGAGGAGGCACCAGTGGGACCAGGGATCGGATGGGTCTGGATAAATGATTGCAACTACACTGGCCTCACCACGTCTACAACACAATGATTCATATGAAGCAATAGAAGCAACCAGCCTAATGGGTTTATTCCTGATTTGGAAGTAGGAATCTACCTAAAATAAATGGGGAGATTCAAAGCAAGTCCATTTTGCAGGCGTTTAACATGAACATGGGAAGGCGGGGGCAATTCTGGTAAAAGAATGCATGTCTTGCCTTGGGTCCGTAATTTTGCGAAGATATCAAGATGATCATAAGTCCCTCCCGACCCCTTGTGCTTTTCCAAGAATTGGCTTTCAGGGGAACTTTGCAAGCAACACCCTTCAACCTTGGATTTGGTTTGCACTGACAGAGACCTCAAGAGTGGGATGATCAGACACCAAAGACACCTTAAGTCCGTAAACTGCTTGTGCTTCTTGGGCGATTGGTTCTGGGTGGTTCCAGTGACCCGGTAGCACCGAAGCAGGTCACCCCGTCCGACAACGATGAGAACCCCGGTGACATTTTTCTGCTCATAGCAGCCAGGCGGGGGAAAGACACATGGTGGTCTAAACCCTCCCATTTCACCCATGAAAACGAGAATTATTGTTACCCTCTGGCAAACTAACATAGCTATTGAAAATGGCCATTTATAGTGAGTTTTCCCATTAAAAATGGTGATTTTCCATTGCTATGTTAGTTTACCAGAGGGTACCCGGGGGGAAAGTAACATGGATGTGGAAAACCCCAATGTTTTCCCTAGGAACACAATCTACACATCCGGGATTTTCCACATCTATGTTAGTTTCCCGGAGGGTAACCAGATGGATTGATTGCGTAGAACAGTGCGCAAAATGGTAAATACCAGTGGTTTAGTTGAATGTTGAATTGACCCATCCCCAAATGTATGAATCTCTTGTCCAGATATGTATAGTGGCACTATGGTTATATCCCAGGATAACCACCTTGTATCCTTATAAGAATTGGTGGTTTTGTAAGTTTTATAACCATAAGCCATCCATTTTCCACCCATCACACCGAATTGGAGATTGTTGGTAATATAATGTGACATGTCCCCATGAATATTCCCGTTATATTCCCATTCCATGACCATTATATTAGTCTGTTTGTAAAGTTTTGTACCCAGAAACCATCAATTTTTAGCAATAAACAATTCATATTTCCATTACATCATCACCAGTAAAGTATATCCCAGTAAATCCCATTATATCCTATTAAATCCCATCAAATTCTATCAAAATCCATTAAATTAAATCCCATTAACATCCCATTAAAATCATATTAAATCCCACCACATCCCATTACAATTCCATTATATCTCTATTAAATCCCATTAGAATCCCCAATATCCCAATATATCCAATTAGAATCGCATTAAATCCCAGAAAAATCACATTAAAAACATATTAAAATCCTATTAAATCCCATCAAATTCCATTCAAATCCCATTCAAATCCTATTGAAATCCCACTCAATCCCATCAAATCCCATTCAAATCCTATTGAAATCCTATTAAATCCCACTTAATCCCATCAAATCCCATCAAATTCCATTCAAATCCCATTCAAATCCTATTGAAATCCCACTCAATCCCATCAAATCCCATTCAAATCCTATTGAAATCCTATTAAATCCCACTTAATCCCATCAAATCCCATCAAATTCCATTCAAATCCCATTCAAATCCTATTGAAATCCCACTCAATCCCATCAAATCCCATTCAAATCCTATTGAAATCCTATTAAATCCCACTTAATCCCATCAAATCCCATCAAATCCCATTCAAATCCTATTGAAATCCTATTAAATCCCACTCAATCCCATCAAATCCCATTCAAACCCTATTGAAATCCTATTAAATCCCACTTAATCCCATCAAATCCCATTCAAATCCCATTGAAATCCTATTGAAATCCTATTAAATCCCATCAAATCCAATTCAAATCCCATTCAAATCCTATTCAAATCCTATTGAAATCCTATTAAATCCCACTCAATCCCATCAAATCCCATTCAAATCCTATTGAAATCCTATTAAGTCCCACTCAATCCCATCAAATCCCATTCAAATCCTATTGAAATCCTATTGAATCCCACATTTTCCCACCTAATTCCCATGACATCACCATCCCTGGTCCAGGCAGAGCGGCTTCCGCTGGCGCCGCCGCTGCCGCCTGGCCGCCGGGCGCTTGGTGGAGCGCCGGGAGTTGCAGCGGGAACGGCGGAAGTTGCAGGAGGTGCTGGTCAATTGATTGCCATAGGGGATATTAATGGGATATTAATGGTGATTTTTATGGTGATTTAATGGGGATTTTATGGGATATTAATGGGATTTTATAGTGATTTATAGTGATTCAATGGGATTTTATAGTGATTTAATGGGATATTAATGGGATATACTGCTATAATAGGGGATTATACTACCTGGTTTACTGGGGATTATATGGGGATATAATACCTGGGGATATTACCTCAGAAAGACCTTATCATAGATGATACCATCTGGTTATGTCAAAATAGCTATTGAAAATGGCCATTGAAATAGTGGATTTACCCATTAAAAATGGGGATTATACTTGGTGGCTCATCCCACGGCTCGTAAGTGGGTTAGTTCACCCCAGTTTTTTGAGTGTATTAACCCTACTTATCCCATTTATAACTGTATAATGATATGGATAACCCATAGGGAATTATTGGGGATTATGATAACCTATCAACTGGGGGTTATAATTACTGGGGATTATGATAACCCATAGGGAAACCTATCAACCAACTATCCCAAGTCATCAGAATTTTATTTGGGTCAATTTGATCACGACCGAACCCTGTTCTCCCTAAACCTGGAATCATGGTTTTTATAGGGAAATGATCCCCAAGTGGTCGCAAGATTCGGGTTAGTGAAAATTTATATATAATTTACCCAGAATCATGGAACAATGTGGAAAAATATGGATAAACAACATGGACAAGATATGGAACAGCTATGGAAACATATGGAAATATAATGAAATAAACAAATAAATAGATAAATAAATAAATAAATATAAATAAATAAATATAAATAAATAAACAAATAAATCAATAACTAACTAAATAAATAAATAACTAGATAAATGAATACATAAATGAATAAATGGAAAAAACAATGCATACGGGAAAACAATGTTTTGAGCATGGCATGTACAGAGTGATGTCAGGAAAAATGGTTTCAACCGAGAAAAGATGGGTGGTTTTAAGTGGCACACATTGGGTTGGACAACTATAAACATGTTTTTTTTTGTTTTTTTTGGGAGCGAAAATATAGATGGTGTAATCTACTTGGAGATTGAGGTTGCAACGATGGAGGATTTTAGAGTAGGTTGCAAAAGAGTGGGGATCTGACAATCAAGAAACGGAGGATCAAGCTTCGTAAATCAAAAAGACATTGGTTTCATCTTCACAAAAAAGCGTGTTTTGTGCCACGAAACTTGGGTTTCAACTTTGAACATGCGGGGTTTCATCCAACAAAATTTAAGTTTGAGACTACAAAAATGGGGGATCAATCTCCGACCGTGGGAAATTGAAACACTTGTAATTCGCAACACGGGGTTTACTGTAAATGATTTAACCAGTCTCGGAGATCCAGTCATCAAAACCTGTTGGGGATCGGAACACCTTTTCCGTCATTCAGTGGTTCCCTTCAAACCATGTTGATTGATATTTTTGAGGGCTTTCTTTCATTAAAAAAACACCGCCAATTTGAGTTGGCGATTTTTTTTTATCCCAAAAGCAGGAAGAAGTGAAAAAGCAGAAGGCGGAGTGGCAAGAACGACTGGATGTTGCACAGAAACGACAGAAAGAGCCTTGGTGTCGAATGAGGCTTGACCAGTAAGTTGGATGATTTTGGGGTCCCATGCCAGAAGAAACCACAGAATTTTTAGGTTGGTCATCATTTTCCTAACGGTCTCTGGCTCGAACATGGGCCATAATTTTGGGATGCTCCCACGGTTTTTTTGAACCATTTCCATGGAAATGGGCAATCTTCTTGTACCAAGTCGAGTTGACCCTTAGGTGGATCCTTCGCTTCTCAAGGATGAGACGTCACCAGCAGATGGCTGTCCCGGCTGTCCCAAACCCCAGGAGGGCGCGGAAAAACAGCTGGGGGTACAAGATCCCTTGGCATATCTGAGTGACAGCAGTGGATGAAAACAGCCATTGCCGACCAGGTACGCTCTGGTAATCTAACTTAGCTACGGTTGACTCGGTTGACCCATGGCCCATAAAAGTAGATGATTCACCTGTGTGTCGGTTATTGCCAGAGGGTTTGCTCAGATCAGAATCCTAATTCTCCGCGGGTTTTTGGTGTTCCTTTTGGCTTCATAAATCCCCCCTTGTTTGGGGAACTGCCAGGTGGGTGAACTGTTGAACGTTAGTGCAACCCTTGACAAGGCAGGGGGTGCGGTTCCGAGACAGGAATTTCATCACCACAGAATTCATCCGGGCTCTGGAATACCATGGATGTTCTCTTGCCATGTTTGATCACTCAGAGGGAAGCACAGTTGGACAAGCTGCTGAACCATGGTCTCGTTGACCTTGGTGAGGATTCCCCGGAGTGGGTAGACTTTCAGAGGGTGCGGATGCTGAAGGGGGAAGGGGTGGCGCTCACCATAGATGATGCTTCGGGAACCCGCCCCACTATGGGTTTATGTCAGACTTGGGAATTACTCGGAATTACTCTTTTGTAATTTGCCCAGAAACATGGTTGTAACTGTCCTGAGCCAAATTTGATCGGCAGATGGAGACTATTTAAGGAAGCTTTGTACCAGGTTGAAGCCACCCAAAAATCAGTTAAGCCACCAGTTTTTGGTGGTAGTGATTCAACTTCTCAGGGAAAAGAGGATGGAACCATCCCATGGTTTATTTAACCTGGTTTGCTGAAGTACCCTCTGGTAAACTAACAGTTTGCTGTTGAACATGGCCCAGTCGAAATAGTGGATTTACCCATGAAAAAATGGTGGTTTTCCATAGCTTTTTGTATGTTTACCAGGCCGGGTAATTTGGCAAAAAAATATGTGATTCCTCCAGTTATCGATCCAACATGGGGACTCATCTGTGATGAAGTCACTGATGGATTCCTGGACGACATCAGGGCCTTGGGGATTCCAGATGGACTGTGGAAGGCCTCCCCATGATCAGTGGCAAACCATGGCAAAGCTCACATCCGAAGTGGAAGACGCCAAGCAAACCGTTCAAGTAGCACCCTTCTGTGTGTTGGGGGGTTACCTGTCGGCTCCATTGCAGATTCCCGAAGAACTGTGCGACATTGTGCGACCATCAGATTCGTTGCCTGAAACGTCATCCAAAGCGAGAAAGAAATTGGGGGTTCCCACACCTTTCAGTTCCAAGATTCTCACCTTTTCTGGGCAAATCATAAAGACCTCAGAAAGACCTTATCATAGATGATACCCTCTGGTAATTTAACATAACTATGGAAAATCACCATTTATAGTGAGTTTTCCCATGAAAAATGGTGATTTTCCATAGTTATGTTAAATTACCAGAGGGTAGTTTATATATGGGGAACCATCCCAAAGATGCCTTCCCCTCATTTTCAATGTCCCCAAAAAAACATCCAGCACGAAACCCTGGTTTGGTGGTGGATCTTATTTCGCTTCTGGGTCCCGACAAATTGGGAGGTAATTGATATGATCAGGCAACGAGATGGTTAATCCATGTTTGTTGGTTTTAATTCCCATTCGTTGGATGGTGACAAAAACCACCATTTCTTCAGGTTTTCCGAGAAAATCCATTTGTGAAACTCCCATTCCGATTCCGGGGAAGATGAGTCGCCATTTTCCACGAGAACGGAAGGTTTTCAGACATGACCAGTTTCCAGTTTCCAGGTCTCCCCAGATATGACCGAACGAGTCTCCGATTTTGGTGAAATCCTGAGAGTCAGGCTGTGCGCTGGCCGCTCTTCCGTTGGAGGCATAAGACATGGGTGGCAGTGGATGGGTGGAAGATTGTTCCCACCAAGTCCTGGTCATTGAAGGTGGATAGCTTGGGACAACGGCCCATTTTTAATAGGTAAATCATCATTCTTATCATCTATAAATCAATGGTTTATCTTCCCTATGTGAAATAACCAGAGGTATCTTGGTTCATGCGGATCCATCGGAGAGATCTAGGTCTTTACACTGAACATAATCCTAGGTTTGGGTTGGAACATGGACCCGGCGATGTTACCCCATCAACAAAACATCCACCATAGATCCAAGCGTTAGCCTAGTTATTTCAACACACTGACCTCTCATGGCTACCCTCCGGTGTTCGATGATTTTCCCATTAGAACCTCCGCGTTCATAAGGGGATTTCCCAGCCTATCAGGTCCGGCCTTTTTAATTTGACCTATGTGAAGTCACTCGAGGCTTCGGGGGGTTTGGGGTGATTGATGCTGGAAGTTTGGATAGTGGGAAGAAAGGGATGATAGCATACAATAACAATGGGATATGATATGTGATATGTGTATACGTGTATATATATATATATGCACATCATTATATATATATATCATTATATATATATATGTATATATATATATCATTATATATATATCATTATATATATATATATTTCATTATATATATATACATATATAATTATATATATATCATTACATATATAATTATATACATATTATATGTAATGGGATACTGTACTAACACACACACATATATATACATAATGACTATCAATATGGGGATATCATGGATAAATTGATGGATATAATGGGATAACAGCTATCCTTGGATCGACGTCACGTTTGGTTGACCAATAGAGGGGTCTCTTTGCATTGAACAACTAATGGGTACATGATATGTTAAATGGCATACCGAAGCGGCCCCTCGATTTTTCCAAGGTCATGATTGGTTAGGATCCATGTTTGTTGGGTTCTTATGGATATGATGGGGCCCTGGTAATTGTTGGTACTTTCTTGGGGCTTTAGTTTTTTTTGCAGAATCATCTGTCTAGATGTCGTGTGTTTCCTGCCTGGATGGTTGAAAGAGGCTGATGGTTGTTGACATCAAATTTGGCGTCCATTCTGAAGATACAGATACAAGTTCAGTTGATCCCATTTTTGTTGGCTTGCCATGATTTGTTGATGGCTACAGCCAGCAGGCAACAGATTCCACAGCTGGATTGGGCGGGAAATCTAGAGGTCCCCAAAAATTCGATGGCAACAACCGTGGCTTTTCGCTTCACTCCAGGCCATGCCTGATACTGCCATAAGACACGTTGACCTCGCTGCGCGCCCTGTTTTTGAGGCGCCGCAGACGGGGCAGACCGGACACTTTGCCGATTTCGGAGAGGCCCGTGGCTGATACAGTGCCTGGTGCATCCCAGTGAGTACGTAGCAACGTTAGCCATATACATCATATCAATTTATATCATGCAACAGGGGGATATCTCAATAACTCGGTGAAGTTAACCACTGTCATGATCTATATTACACAGGTATTACCTGAGACACGAATATATCAGTGGGGAATAATCATGGTCACGACTACGTTTATCACTATTATCAACCAGTAGACATTGTTCTTAATGTGCTGAACCCAATCCTAAACAATCCCCCAAATCACCATGGGTGCTATGAACCATTCCCAAACCGTAGTGGCAGTCAGGGTTTCTCGCATTATTCCCATTCCATCACCATTACATTCATTTGTACGTATGGTTTGTTAAGTATTATATTATAGCCATAAACCATCCATTTTTGGCCATAAACCATTCATATTCCCATTACCTCACCACCATTTGTCCCATTAATCATTATATCCCAGTAAATCCCACTAAATCCCATTCAATTCCATTAAAATCCATTAAATCCCATTAACATCCCATTGAAATCATGTTAAATCCCACTATATCCCATTACAATTCCATTATATCTCCATTAAATCTCACATTTTGCCAGATCAGATCTCTCCAGGATTTCCGCCAAAGTGAGCTGGAGTTTGCCTTACGCTGGGCGCGTACCTCGTCAAATGTGACGGATTTCTGACGCTCGAAAATTCAGCGGCCAGATCTTCAAGTATTTTTTTTCATACAGAGATCATATGTGCCAGGGTCAAATTGGGGGGATATACATATATACATATATATAATATGATTATACATGTATATAGTATGGACATATATATATATGTATATGTATATGTATATATATATATATGTATATTAAATATAGACATATATGTATATATGTATCATACTGTATGTATGTATATAATATATACATACAAGCTACATGAATGCCCAAAGTCTTTCAATTCAATGAACCATAACTGTACAATTTTCAAAGCCTACGAAACATGATACGCAAAAAAGACAGGAACTGACAAGTGCAAATAAATTAGGCATCAATGGAACAGTTGGAGGAGCTACAAAGCTGCCAATCATTACCAAAATCCTACAGATGAGTACCCCTTTGCGGCATTTGTGTGATTCAGCTGGACCAAACATATCAAGAGTTGGTATCAACACACAATATATCCAGAAGTGCAACCTTTTTGGTCAACCATCTCTCCATCTTTCACATTTTTCAAGCATAGGAATGGCATTTTCTGATGCCCAATGATTCATATCCAGACGGGTAAGTTGTTGGACCATCCAGGTGCTGGTGCGAGCTATGCCTCATTGATGCATGGCTCCGGCTGCCCAGGGGTTCGCTTCGGGGCTCTGTTGGGTCTGTTTGGATGGGCCAGCGAAATCCGAATCACCAGTTGATAGATGGTAAACATCCCAGTTTATCCCAGTTTATCCCATGATTTTCTTGGGGTTGAAACAACCATCCCTTGAATGGGTGGTAAAAATGTCGGGTATTTCGCGGATTTCGCCCATCCGTTTGGTACCTCTGCAGTGATGAAGAGATTTGTTACAGTTTGCGACATAGAAAATTGCCCATAGAAATAGTTGATTTTCCGAACTTACGAAAAAAAGATGGTGATTTTCAATAGCTTTTTGTATGTTTACCAGAAGGTAGCCCATTTTTTTTTGGAGCAACTTTCCTACCATGAGTTGATCCGTTGATCTTTCGGAACATCTTTCTGTTACGAAAAGTGAACGGCCAACTGCTGGGCCCAACTGGATCAAGTCGCAAGTCGGATGTTGGGATACCGCCCATTGAACAAAAACCCACCCTGAATAGTCCAGTATTTACTGTAATTATATGGCAGTGTGTCAAAACCTTGATACCTAGTGAACCCCAAAATAGCTGGTAAATGGATGTTCATCCCACTAAAAATGTATCTATAGGTATTGACCCATACCCATATAGAAGATTATAGAAGCAACCTATAGTCGATAACATATCCCATGATTTCAATGTTTGGATGAACTTGAGCAGATGGTCTCTCATTCAGTCTTAAATTCAATAGTTGATCATGGTGTTCCGAAAAAAGATATGGCCTTTTCACTTGGGGTATACCCTCTGGTAATTTAACACATATAGCTATTGAACATGTTCATTTATAGTTGATTTCCCAATTATATGTTAGTTTACCAGAGGGTAGCCCATTTTCAGACTCGTCCAAGTCCAGGGTATTTTTGGCGAACAACTTCGATTCTCGATTCGCACACTGAGGTTGTTGGTCCACGGGTTGACAGTCTGGGTCCGTGGACACGGCGATGTGCCGTGAGACGACGTTTGTCTCGTTCATTGGGTGGTCTCCTGTGAAATGTGGATGGGAGGGGCCAAGCAGATCGTGGTTTTTGATGGTTTTTGGACACTGAAACAGACACTGAAACGGCATTTTTTCCGAAGGTCGCTCCAGAGAAAACAGAAGTGGAGGTTGGAACCCACCAGTTTGTTCAGGATAGCCATTTCCTTGACCAGAAGGTGTAGATTGAGCCTGGAGATTATTTCAGAAGAGACGCCCAAATTGCTTTTAGCTTTTCTGAGAATAGTTCTCTGCCTGTCTGACCGCACTTTGAAGAAGTGACGAAGACAGAAGCCTGTGAGGGGTGCCCATCTTGCGCCAGTTTTAGTGCTCGCTACCGTCGCCTCCCTGTGATGCGCGTGAAAGATGGGGCCCGGGGACATGTCGTTTAATGGGGTTCTACCCCCTGGTCTGGATCTTGTCGTTTGTGGGAGGGAAGAATCATTGCACTCGCACGATTCTCCAGGTTGTGCAAACATCCTTTTTACAAATGGGCTGTGGGAAGGAACGCAAAGACAATGGCCAAGGGGCCAAGGGGTTGTATTCTGTGGCCATGGACACACTAAAAAAAGGGGGTTTGTGGTCACACTTCGAAACCAGTGACTTGAGATGTTGATAACCTACATAACCTTGTAATACCTTATATATATAATTATATAATGATGTATTTTGACAATTGTTAACTATCATATGATATATGTGGTGATTGGCCAGATTGGAAGCAGTGGGTTTTATTGGGATTGTGGTCTATGATACTATGACCTCTTCTATGGCTGGTAATGCTGGGCCAGATTTCAAATCTTGGGGATGATTGAACATATGGGTTTGTGTGAAAATAGGGCACCCATCATTCCAGTATTTTATCACTTTTTTCCCTACATCTTGAAGTTGCAATTTTAGGGTCCCATTTGAACAGCAAACATTGGCAGCTCCCTTGCTTTTCGATACATCAAACATCTGGGAACTGCAGGACATGCTCAACGCTGCCCGCGGAAAGGACAGACCAAAGCCAGTCGTGGGACTGGTCGTGGGTCACCGCTGGGAGAATTGAACTGTCGGCAATGCGATGGGAATACCATGAAAGCATAATCTGCAATTCAGATCGTAGACATTGTAGAATATTGTAGAATATTGTAGATTTCTTCTTTGGGAAGCCATTTACAGCTGTTCCTTGTATTTGGAGAACCCAAGGAAACCTGAAACCCACTATAATTCTTCGCGGAATCCACAACTTAGCCAAAGCCACCAGCGTTCCCATGGCGATAGTGTTAGTCGCCGATGTTTACTACGTCTTCACGTTCATTTGCCTTAAATTCACATCTTTGCCCGCACTTCCATTCCTTTTTTTTGCTGGTTCTAGTTCTATCCGCATATTTCTTAATGCAGCACCGTTTGTGGTGAAATTCCAATTTTCTGTTTGGCAAAAACCCCACAGTTTCATTTGTACAAGATTCTCTCCCGTTAAAAGTTATAAGTTGGTGTATAACTTATAACTCACGAGTAACATCCATTAACTATATTAGCGGTAGTAATATATCTACCATAAAATGAGCCCAGTTCCCCTGAATTTGTCTGAGGAGCCGTCGCTCATTTGCCCAGCTGTACCATCCCTGATCATTCCCTTGAAGAGCCTGGGATGGCACGATCGAGTGGTAACCCGACAGTGAGCTTAGTCCCCGACAGTAAGTTATCCCACTTATCATTCACTTATCCCATTTTTTTGGGGTGAACAGAGGGGCACTAGTTAGAAAGGCTGCGCTACTACCTCTGGGTTGGTAGAACACTGCATAGTTTCATGGATACTTTTCTGGCTTATCCACTGGAATGTTGAAGCCACCAATGCTGGATTTGTTGATTGAGGTACAGTACTTGTTTCAGGCATCAACACATGGTTGGGGTTGGAGGGGGTCCTAGGGAATAGCATGTGCTGATTTTTACCTTCCACAACGATTGTTGGGGCCTCCAAACCACCGGGCCTCCAAACCAATTGGTTGAACCAGTGGCTTTTGAACCTTGTTGGGACTGGCAATCAAGCATATAGAATCTAGATGAATCTGGAAGATAAGCTGCCTGTTCTTGAGGTATGAGATAGTCAACTGTTGGTTTGGATTGGGTCCCTGAGTCCCTGCCATCCGAGGTACAGTTCTCCAGAAATTTGATACTGGAGATATTGGACATTTGATGTCTTTGACCCAATTCTGTATATATATATATATGTATATAAATGTATACTATGTATATATTATATACTATATATTATATTATATTATATTATGTTATATTATATTATATTATACATTATATTACATTACATTATATTATATTATAATATATTACATTACATTATATTATATTATATTATATTACATAATATAATATAATATAATATAATATAATATAATATAATATATATATAATATATATATAATATATATATGATATGTATATATATATATGGGTTTGTCTGAAAACCAGTTATCCCCAGTTCCAATGGCTTAAAGCCTCTTTTCCCTCATTAAAATGGTCAGAATCTGAGGTTAAATCAGATATTTTCAGGCACACCCAAAACCATATCTACAAATATCTACAAACATGTTGATATCGCGTCATATTTTATCTATATTCCCTTTTATATTCCTTTATTTTCCCTTCACATTCCGATGAAAAATGCCCAACAAGTTGGATGGTGACTGACGATCCCTCTCCTTGTCCCAGGAAAGCTTTGAACTCCCGGGACCGATGGGAAGGGCCAAAGTGAGTCAGTGAGGTATGACTTCTAGCCTCTGATACCCTCTGGTAAACTAACATAACTATGGAAAATCACCATTTTTAATGGGAAAACTCACTATAAATGGCCATGTTCAATAGCTATTTTGACATAACCAGAGGGTAACCAAGACAGCTGTATTGAAGAAACAGTATATACAATATATGCACGCATACATAAGGCACTTTAGATAAATGAATGGATGAAACAAAGATAAACATGTGTATAGCTGAAACAGTATTATGGTATTTATTGATTATTTAGGAACATTGGTCAAGTCACCAATCTTTGGAGCATGTGTTGTGTTTCCATTAGCGCCAAATCCAGAGAGCTTGTCGATTCGGCAGGCTGTCTTGAGATTGAATTTCCGTGCCGACTCACCCATGCAACTCACCATCAATGTATCAAAATGCATAGAGCATAATAGACCAATAAGTGGAGAGGAAGCCTCTGTGAAAGCCTCGAATCATAAAAAATAACGGTGAACACCACCTTTTTACATGGTACTTCAAGTTGAGTCCCACAGTGCCACAATGTGCCACTCACAGACGAGCTACATCATGGTCGCAGTGCGGCAGGACATTCCCACGATGTGCAAAGCCATCAACACCTTGCAGCACATGGTAAGGCCTGGCCAACCGGACAGCTTTTTGTTTGGGGAAGGGTAAGACTTGACATGACTTGACCGAAATGGTCGGAAATATGCAGATCTTTGGGGGAAATCATTGGTAAATATGATACCCTCTGGTTATGACTAACATAGCTATTGAAAATGACCATAGAAATAGTGGATTTTTCCCATTAAAAATGGTGGATCTTTCCATAGTTATGTAAACGTTTACCAGAGGGTACCCCAGATGCTTACACCTGGAGCCACTTTCCGAATTCAAAAGCGGCTTTCTCTTCGAAAGTTTCCAGGAAGTTGACCCCAGTAGCATCATTTTTCCATGGGAAAATATGGGTATGGGTCAAGATCAAAGTCTCCCAAAATTGGCTTCACATCCCACCTCAGTCAATGAAAAAAATGTGTCAACGATTTTGGGGATGTGAAGAGTGGGCCCTGATCTGGCTAAACCTTCCAAAAAGGCTATGTTCATGGGTTAGTATTCAGGTACTGTACTTTTGGATAATGATATTTCATCACCCAGATAAAACAGACATCTCTGATGTGAGAATATTACATAATACTGTAATTGCACTCCACCATAAACCCTATGTAAACTAGTATGCATTACAGCATTGCGGCTCAGGAGAAAAAGCGCTGGGCTGCTAGCTTAACGGTTGTATTGTTTTGCCCCATAGGTTTATCAGTCTATTTGGGATTATAACATAACCCCAGCTGAAACCTGAAAATACAGGTTATCAGCCGTAGTCTCTAAAGCCATGGACAAGTCACATGACGCTACAGGTGGTGGCGCTCTCGTACCTGCTTCAGGAACAATGGCGACTGCATCAACTGGATCTCAGCCTGTGACGGCTGGGGCAACTCCCACGCCCATGTCGGTAGATGAAGGTTTCTTCACACAGCCCGTCCAGGCATATTTTCAGTTCGTGCAAAACAATCTTACCTACATCAACGAAGGTAACATTGACGCTTTCAGGCAAGAGGCAGAGGAGAGGCACACACATCTCATGGAACAAAAGGTCCAGCAACTGTACCAAGAGTTTGAGGGAATTTGCCTTAGCGAAATCGCCCATCAACGTGCAGAAGCTGACCGCAGACATGAGCACCTAGTGTCAGAGTATTCAATGTCCCAAACGGCAACTGAGCATGAGGTAGCAAAACTGAGACAGGAGCTTAGCGATGCAAACGCAAAGTTGAAAAACGCTGCAAATGCAGTTGCACTGGAAGCTGAACAAAGAGCCAACCAAAAGGTAGCCCACGTTACAGCCCAGTACGAACAAAGGTTTTCTGAACTCAGAAGTAGCCTCGAGGCAGACTGTAAACGAATCGTGGATGAAACAGTAGAGTATGCAAAGAATGGCATGGAAGGTTTCAAGAAGGAGGAACAAGCTGTAATCCAGGAAATCAGAGAGGAATGCAGTAGGCAGGAAAACCAAGCTGCTGAACTCAACTTCCAATTGCAGGGACAAGTGGAGGATTTGATGGAAAAGCTCAGCAAGTACAGCGCCCCGGAAATCAATGTCGACAGAGCCGTTGAAGTTGATGATTCACA